GTGTCCAGTAAACTTCAGTGTTGATGAAGCTTTCATCCTCCTCAGTGAGCACAGCACAGTCCAGGAACTGTAGCCTATTTTATTTGGTATCCTCCTTGAAGTTTACCAGAAACCCACACATACAGGAACCAGTACCCACTCCTTCACTCCCACCGCCATCTGGAACACAAACTTGGGATCATCGGGACTCTACAACACCAGACAGAGAATGTTCCCTTTAAGGAAAAATTGAAAAAATGAACACACAAGTAAAGAAAACTCTTTAACATGTGCTTTTCCCAACTGGGCCTTCATCAAATCACTAAAGGTGCACTGGAAAGAAGGTCAGACACCACCCAGGGAGAAACAGAATGACAAAGGGAACAACATTGCCATCTCTTATGTAGCAGGTTTATCAAAGAAACTCAGGTGAATGATATCCCAGTTCACTTCAGACCGAACCGCACCCTTAAACAAAAACTAGTTCATCCCAGGAACAAAATTTCCAAACACAAGCTGAGCAGCATAGCATATGCTACGCAGTGCATTGAGGAGTGCTCATACCTTTACACTGGAGAAACCAAACTCCACTCCACTCCATAAACACTCTTTTCTGTTGTCTTCTATGGGACAACGTCAACTTCCAACTTCAACAAACAAGCTGTACATCTGAACCTAAAGAACACAGTTCATTGATTTAAGGATGCCAATATTCACATTTTGGACCAAAAACACAGATGGTTTAAAGAAAGGGAAGTCCACTGTCCACTGCAGGACCCTCAATGAACAGAAGTGGTGGCTTAACTATACAAAGTATTAGCCACCTACCGTGCAGTCTTGAGGTCCCTTCCTGAGTGCTACCTCCCCTCTCAAACCTTTCCCTTAGGTGAGCTCAACCACCACCAGCCACCTTGAATCCCTGGTGATGGTAATGACCCGTGCCTTTTATCATACCTTGTCCAAACCCCCGCTAGGGTTTAAATATCTGGGCCTCTCTACCATTTGTTTTTAGAACTGAACAAGCCTCTTGGGTGTACGCTGAAACATCTTCGCAAACCTAAAGTAGTTTTTTTTTCCAAGCTCTAGAGACTACCACAACCTGGATGACTGAGGAACCTACACAGTCACTCTGATACACTCATTTCTGATCCTGTTCATCCTGATCATTCCTACTATTTACTGTCTGTGGTGAAGTAAGTCAATCCTAAATAAGAAAAATGATTCCTTGGTCATGGTTGTAAACTCTGATCAACTAGTTCATTTGACATTTGAATGCTGTTATACATGTATGAAGAAAATCTGTATGCTAAAAATTGATAACAAGTAAAAATCATTTTACATCTCTTTTGGACTTAGAGTAAACAGGTACTCCAGTAAGTATAGATAGATTTTAAAAAGCCTTTTCCCACCTCTGTGGCACTGACCTAGTTTCAGCTGTTGGTAATAAAACAGTCACCATCCACCTTTCTCTTGAGCCTCGGCTGTGAAACTATTAACGTTTGCTTGCCTGACCACAGCAGTCTTGGTGAAGAACATGAGGTGACAAGATCAGAAATATAAATAGGAGATAAAACACGAAGGCTCTGAACAGTAACAAAAAGAATCCTAAGCACAACTATAAAATAAAGTGTCTCCAACGTTGAAAAGCAACAAAAGGCTACCACACACAAACCAGTGCTACTGCAGCAGCGTGGATGGCCCTTAGCTTGGAGCTGTAAACCAGTGGCAGATCTAGAAAATTATACATGGGGGGCAAAAGAAGGGCAAGATGTCTAGGCAGGGTGGCACACACACCTCTTCAGTGAAGTATGTGTAAACAGAGTCAACAAAATATCCACAAAAACACAAAACTGGTTATTGTATCGCTGTCTCTTCTACAAAAACATGGAAAATTTTAGGTATAAATCAGACAAAAAAGTCACCATAAATACATACAGAAATAAATAAATACAGAACAAAAATACAGAAAAAGAGCTTAAAATACTGCACAGGACTGATTTCAGCCATCGTGTTTAGGCCCATTGTTCCTTCACTGGGCTGGTTTCAGTCATCATGCAATGTACTGTTTATAAGATCGGGGAAACCTACAGTCAGCTGAGACTGAAGAAGTCACTTGGATGAGTGATGAAACATTTCTCCCACAGAATGCTACATCCAGATGAACAGAATCAACTTTTGGAGGTTTAGGCTTAAGGTAACAGTTGATGTGCTGGGCAGCATAACGTCTCACAAAGACATCCAAATCTACTGCTTTGGTACGCTGCTTTTCTGTGCTAAGGATAGTTGGATTGCTCAGACGATCATCTCGCCATGGTTAAGCGGAGGTGATTTATT